ATGCATTTTTTTGTAATGCATAGCAGTTTAGAAGAAATATTTGAAGATTTTGCAAGGATTTGATAAATAATTAATCTAAAGATATTAAATATTTTATAAACAATAAAAATTTTTTAATATAATTAAATTAAAGATTTAATTTTAAATTGAATATCATCTGTTTTATAATATATTGATATTGAAGATTATGCTATGTGCTCTTAAATAAGAGATTTTATTTTCTTCAAGTAATAAAAATCTCGTGTTATTGATAAGATTAGCAATATTAAATTAATTCTAAAAATATATTCAATTTACTAGTTTTAAGTATAAGATTCTTCACACTTACTCATCGATTTTTATGATATTAATTATAAAGACTATCGGTATTGAATACAATTCTAAATAAATCAATAATATTGGAATTTTATCTATAAAATTTTAATTGTTATTAAAACAATTATATACTTTTTAATTCATATTTATAATAAAATTCCAAGTGAATAAAAAAATGCCTTCAAAATTATTCTTATAGGTTAATAAGAGTATTAATTTGAACTTAATAGAGATAGATGAATACTTTTTTTAATTTTTTTTCAGAAGCTGCTCAATCAAACTTTCCTTAATTTTAATAGTAACAAAATTGGATTTAATGCAACAAAAAGATGATGAAAAATAGATAAATTTATAAAAAAATATAGATGAATTCTAAAATTTTTTGTATAGTAACGTTTTTCAACTATTTTTGATTTAATTTTAATAAATAGAACTGAATCAGAATAAATTAAGAAGAGCTTTGATAATAATTAATTGATACAATACTCAAAAAGAAATAATGTAATTTGATGATTATGAATAGCAATATAAATAAATTTCAAATTAGATAAAAAAAACAAAATATTTATTTTACATAACAAAATATTTAATTTATATCATAATTTGTATTTTCTATCATGATTAATGGAATGTAATTATGCATTAATTAAGTAATATAATTAAAGGTTTATCAAGATTTCATTTAAGAATATTAATTTTGAGAATAATATTAGAGAACCATAATTTAAACATATTATAAGTGATCCAGTATAATTTATGTTTGTAGCTTTCAGAATGGGGTTTTTGAATAATTTAGTTTCTATTTTGAAATATTCTTGTACTCTTAATTAGGTTATTGTAAATCAGAAATTCCTTCATTTTGCCAAACAATTCTTAATTGTAAAAGGGATTAAATTTACTATATTCTGATCTAAACCATAATTCAAAATAAATTAGAGCGTAATAATAACATCAATCAATATATATAATTTTTGATGATATTAGTTGACTTTAAAAACTAATTTAGGAATAGTATTTTAAACTTATTTCTTTTCATTCATGATGACTTCTATTTCAAAAGGTTTCTGACTAAATTAGCTTATAAAATTCAAAATAAATTAATCATATAAAGATTTATTCCACTTATTTTATTTCTTCTATTATTCATAATAATAATAAATAGAAATTTTATACATCCTAATAATAATAATATTTATCTAAACTAATGAAATAAATTGTAAATTATATTGTTTATCGTATTTATTTTGATAATAATTTTAATTTAATCTATGATATCCCTAAGTTAATATTAATATGCAAATAATTAATTATAATGGGGTAATTAGAAATTTCGAAATAGCCTTGATATTAGATTTCAAATTTAGTTTATGATTTTAAATAATACATATTATAATATTTTATGCTTTATTGAAGATAAAAAAATAGTAAAAATTAAAAAAGAATATCATTTCAATATTAAATCAAAAATAAAGAAAGATTTCTAAATGAGTATTAAAAAATATCAATTGATTTTTCGTATATTTTATATATATTTATAAATTAAGAATAAACTTTATTTAATTCATCTCATATTTTATTCCTTTAATTTTACATTTATTCTGATGTTATAAATAATATATTTGTACTTTAACAAAGACAAATAGAATTTATATTGATATTTAGAAATTAAAAATTATTTGAAATCCTTCTTATGTTCTATTTAATTATTATGGTATTTTATATTATTCTACATACATTAAATTTGCACTTTAAAATTAATATGTGGTTAAGATAATTAATATATTTAACTTAATTTTCACTTCTAAATGCTGTTCTTCTTGATTATTTTCTTTTTAATGGCTTTTTCAGAATGGAGACTAATTTCAAGTGATTTTTATTAAGAATAGATAGACACAACTTCAAATTGGAAAACTTTTAAAAGTTGCATAAATGATTAGACAAAAATGTATTCTATAAATTAGTGTCAGACAAATAGACTAGATTTTATAAGACTAAGGGAAGATGCAGAAAGAATAGAAAAAGAATTTTATTATCCACACTTTTAACTTAGAATAATAACAGATGTTATATATATTCGCTCAAAAAATGGAGAGGAATCCAATTTTAATATATAAATAAAGGATTCCACTCAAGTAACTAAGTTATTTACTAGATAATATCAATAGTCTTCGTTATAAGAATATGATAATGTGTGTAGGTAAAGTTGTAGCGGATAATGTGGTTCTTTAAATGAAGATAAGATTGAAATCATGACTCATATTCTCAATGCAATAGATCATAATAACCCTCTCTTTAAGATTTAATATTGTTTTTAACCTTAAAATGAATATATGCGTATAGGTTTAAGAAACATTTTAATTTATGTAAATTCATGCCATATTTCATGTGCATCATGTAGTGGAAACACAAAAAATGATTGTTTGACATGTTATTATGGATCTCAAGAAGGAGGTAGTTGTTAATGTGAAGAGTCTAATAAATATATCCATTTATTAAAAGGTTGTGTATTTGAATGTCCAAGAGATTACTATTTAGCAGATGAATCTAATTATTGTTAATTTGACAAACGTATTTTATAAATATTTGAATTAGGAGTTAAATCGAAGTTCATATACTTTCCTCATTCATAAATAGATAATGCAAATTTGATACCTTATGATCCATGGATTTATGTTCCAGATCCATTTCATATCAATAATTCTAACAAAATATTCTCATGTTAAGGAGAAGATTAAGTTGGAAAATTTAGTTATTATGAATCGATGAAATTGAGATTACCATAACATGAAGGATTAAATTATTTAAGAATCAGAGTATCTTTTTACTTTTTTGGTTGGCAAACTGATACTGTGTTAAGTGTCATAGTAGATAAATATTCTCAAATGAGAATAGAGAAGACTCTGAAT